ACACACACACACACACACACACACACACACACACACACACACAGCTCGTTTGCAGAATGGTCATGCATGAACCTGAAAGGAATACAGCTTACATCTCAACTCTAGCATATGTAAGTACACATGTATTCAGACTCTGTTTAAGAATAGAAAGCAAGATATACATAGCTATAGTTTCATAAATCACTATATATATTGTATATATATATACATATATATATGTATATATATATACACATATATATTTAAATCAACCCTACTTTAGCCAGGCACTGGTAGTTAGTAATTCTAACTACTCAGAAGGCTGATGAGATTTGATGATCCCAGTTTGAAGCCAGCCCAGAGGAAAGTCTCCAATTAAGCACCAAAAAAGCTGGAAGTGGAGTTATAGCTCAAATGGTACAGCACTTCCTTTGAGCAAAAAAGCATAGGGACAGCACCTAGACCCTAAGTTAAAGCCTCATGAGCAGCATGCATGCACATGCACACACACACACACATTTGCATGCACATACACATAAATCCTATTTTAAAAAGTGAGGAATAAGTGAGGTAGCTCACACTTGTAATACCAGCTATTTGGATTTGGGATGCAGAGATTGGAAGGATCAAGGTTCCTGACAACCCTGTCCCCATCTCAATCAACCACTGGGGGTGGTGGAACAGGTCTATATTTTAGTTAGTAGAGAGGCCAATATGTAGAAGAATCAGTTTAAGGCTAGCCTAGACAAGAAGCACAAGAGTTTTCTGAAAAATAATCTAAAGCAAAAAAAGTCGGGGGAACCTCAAGTGGTACAGTGCCTACCTAGCAAGTACAAAGCCCTGAATTCAACCTCACATTGGAAAGGGAAAAAAAAGTGAGATTACAGTGGCTTTTTTAAATAAGATAATAGAATTATTTGATTCAAAGATAAACTGGCACGGCTACAGATGATCCAGAAACCTTCTCAGGAGAAGCCAAGAAGGGAAACAAAGTATTTTGAAGAAAGTTAAAAAAAATCAGAATAACTTGCATATCCTAACTGTATAACTTGTGATGTCAGTTTCAGGGTAATCTTTTCCAGAAAATATTCTTCTCAGCCTGAGGAAGTATGCTAAATGAAACTAGGATTCAAATTACTCACCAGAGCTGCTTGCATACTTTCCTTTAAAAAATTTTTTCTGCCTGAATACTTTCAATGTTTCATTTCTATTTTTTTTTGTTGTTGTTGTTGGTCCAGGGACTTGAACTCAAGTCCTGGGCACTGTCCCTGAGCTCTTTTGCTCAAAGCTAGCTCTCTACCACTTTGAGCCACAGCATTACTGCTAGGTTTTTTTGGGTTAAGTGGAGGAAAGTCTCATCCTGTCCAGGCTACCTTTAAACTGTGATCTCGTATCTCAGCTTCCTGAATAGCTAAGATTATAGGAGTGAGCCACCAGTGCCGAGCTTCAATGTTTCATTTCTTTTTAAGAAACTGGCTATCCAGGTACTACTTAGTGAAAAGCTTAGCATTTGAAGCCTTGAGTTCAATCCTCAACAGAAGCTCCTTCATAAAAGAAAAGAAAACAAAAAAAGAAACCTTCGGCTACAATAGAGGATATGTGGCTCAAATACTTAGAAGAATCTTG